CAAACAACGCAGGCGCTTGCGTTCCGTGTGGCGGGTTTGGGAAATTTGAATGAGGGAAGTTTTTTGACGAATGTGGATTGACGATATTGCTTTTTCACGAGTGTGGGGGACGAGGCATGCTGAAAGGAGGTGGAGGAGTTCGACGAGGACGATCTGGAGGACAAAGAGGACAAGGAGGAAGACAAAGAGGTGACAGAGAAGAAAAACAAAGGCGATTCCGAAGATGACCAGGACGTACATGTATGGAATCATGTTAAAAGCAAAGTAACTATGTATGTTCTCGTATTGGGGTATACACATATAAATAGCTAAATTTTATCTTCGTGATAAAAGGAAATTGTCTATTTAAGAAAAAACTAATTTTTGTTAACAAAAAACTAATTTAATTATTTCCTTTTTCGAGGATAACGCGTTTTGGCACATGAAATTCATCTTCATTCTCTCTGTTTAGGTTATGTTCAGGGGATAATAATTAACCAAACATACATGAATTATTATCGTTATTAAAAAAGGCACGCACTCGATTTTGCCTTCACGCTTTGAATCGATTTAGATGAACTAAAACTGTAAAAAAATATGTTGTCGATTTATGTAGGGTTTTGTAGTCATTTATAGGGCTACACAAGTATATAATTACACCCATATGATAAGTTCCTGCCAGCTTAAATAATATTCAGAAAATTCGTTCGATATACTAAAAAGAAATTAATGGTATATTGCCGTAACTAAATTTCCAGCCGGCAGGCCATCCGACGAAGCATAACAGCTTCACAAAGATTATCTCGCAAGTATTCAATCAATATATAAAAAGTTCTCTTCTTAAATTTTATCATTTCTTCCAATGGAAAATGAAGTTAGGTGTGTTGTTACCGTAAGCCTTTAGTGAGTAGGCTTAATGAGATAAGGCACATACGCATCCATTCATATCGCCAAAGACTGGCTCATGCTATGCAAACTGAATTCCTAGATAACTTGAAGTTGATTTGATTGCTCATGCTATGAAACAAATCTAGCTACCATCTTAATATCCTAAAAGGATCATATTACAGGACATTATTACGATTCATGTAGTGAATTAGAATATCCAAGTTAGGCTTTCCATCAACATACATTATGATTAGATGTAATAAAAACATATAATTGTAGTAAGAATATAGCTATTTAATATTATACCAAACGATAGAATATCAGAAACCCAATCAGCCTTTGTTGCTGGGAGGCAGATTTCTGATAATATTATGATTGCCCAGGAGATATTTCACGCTCTACGAACAAAGCCGAGTGGACGAAATAAGAGGATGGCCATTAAAACAGACATGAGTAAGGCATATGACAGAATGAAGTGGTCATTTATTGAAGCTACTATGAGAAAAATGGGTTTCGCCGAAGTATGGATAACATGGATTATGCGATGCGTCACATCGGTACAGTACAAGGTCGTTATGAATGGACAACCTAGAGGGAATATTGTCCCAGAGAGAGATCTACGACAGGGGGATCCTCTGTCCCCTTTCATTTTTATTCTATGCACGGAAGCGCTCGTTAGCCTTCTAAATCACGCAGAGAGTCAAGGGAAGATAACGGGGATGCGTATCACGCGTGCGTGTCCTTCGGTATCTCATCTTCTCTTTGCTAATGATAGCATGTTCTTCTGTAAGGCGGAGCCCCGTGAATGCGAAGAAGTAATGAAAGTGGTCAGAAAATATGGACAAGCCTCAGGACAATGCATTAATTTTGATAAATCTTCTCTGCTCTTTGGCAAGAGAATTGGACTGGAAGTTAGACAAGAAATTAAGGACGTACTTGGGATTCAAAATGAAGTAGGGATGGGAACATACCTAGGTATCCCAGAACACATCAGTGGCTCTAAATGCAAGCTTTTTGCATTCCTAAAGGATAAGCTACGGAATAGAGTTAATGGATGGACGGGGCGGTGGTTGTCAAAAGGAGGCAAAGAAGTTATGATTAAGTCGATTCTGTTAGCACTTCCGACTTATGTGATGTTATGTTTCCTCCTTCCATTAGAGATTTGTGATGCTTTAGCTAATGCCATTGCACAGTTTTTGTGGAGCTCGAATCCCCCCAAGAGAGGTATACATTGGACGACATGGGATAAGCTATGCTTACCGAAGGAGGAGGGAGGGATTGGATTTATGATGATTCATGAATTTAATTTGGCATTGCTAGCTAAGCAGCTATGGAGACTGGCTCAGAATCCTGATTCATTGGTAGCTCGAGTTATGAGAGGTAGGTATTACCGATCAAGTTCGCCATTGCGGACTCTTGATGTCAGCAGCCCATCGTATGTGTGGACTAGTATATCAGCGGCGAGAGAATTGTTAATGTTGGGGATTAGACAGAAAGTACATTTGGGATATGAAGTAAGAGTATGGGAGGATCCATGGATTCCTACTGTACCAGCGAGGTCAGCAGTTCCTCTCGCCCCAGTTCTTCACCAAAATATGCGAGTGAGTGACCTTATCAACCAACAGACGAAGTGTTGGGATTTGGATAGACTGGCGAACTACATAGCTGCAGCTGATACACCACTTATAAGGAGCATGGCAACTAGTACAACACACCATAGGGATACGTATTGCTGGAGTTACACAAGAAATGGAAAATACACAGTTAAATCTGGATATTGGGTTGCCAGGAATATACTGCGAAAGGAGGAGGAGACTGTAGTTTGTGAGCCTAGTATAACAAAATTTCAAGCACATGCTTGGAAGGTTAAGGCACCGCAGAAGATTTGTCATCTTATATGGCAAATAATAACAGGGCATCTGGCTGTCACAAGCACTCTGAACTATAGACATATGCGTTGTAATAACCATTGTCCTCGATGTGGAGAGCCTGAAGAAACAGTTGCACATGCAATCTTTCAATGCCCACCTGCCATGCAAGTTTGGGCATTATCTTCTACGCCGTCCAGTCCTACCCTTTTCCCATTACAAAGTACGTATTCGAATATGGACTATCTTTTCTGGAGGAAGAATGCGATAATGGAACCGGAAATGGACAGGGACCCTTATCCCTGGCTAATTTGGTACATTTGGAAGGCTCGAAACGATAAGCTGTTCCGAGGAATTGATAGAGACCCAATGGAATTAGCCAGATATGCAGAGAGTGGGTGCCAAGCTTGGTTCCAAGCTAATGAACAGGAATTAGTACCAGATCAAGGACACATGGATATGGACCAGACCATAAGTCTGAGAGATATCTGCATGATTGACGGTTCATGGACTTCTATGAGTCAATTCAGTGGATGTGGATGGGCATGGACTGATCATATGGGGAATATGCAGCTAATGGGTATGCGTGATGTGAGTAGGATGGAATCGGCTTTGCACTCTGAGCTGGAAGCACTGCGGTGGGCAATGGAGAACATGATTCAACATTCGCCATGTCAGAGCTTTGGGACGGACTGCAAGGAGTTAATAGCGATGCTTAGAGATCCCGATGGCTGGCCAACTTTCTCAACGGAGCTAGAAAAGATCATGACTCTGCAGATTTGTTTCCCAGACTTTAAGATCTCATATGTTCCTAGAACGGCAAATGTACTCGCTGATTCTCTTGCCAAATCGTCTCGGTCCTTTTATCGAGACTTATTGTATGTTGGTTGTTCTATTCCGGTCTGGCTTCCCAGACCACCTCAAGCTTGAGTAATAGATCAGCCGTTTGTTGCCAAAAAAAATAAAAAAATATTATACCAAACTAGAGAACAAAAGGTCTATTAGCTCAGTTGGTTAGAGCCTCCTGATAATAACGCGAAGGTCAACCTGTATAGGTCATTTTATTGTTTTTCTATAATACATATTTTCTTTGGTAGAAATATGAATGAACACCAAGTTGTCGTCCCCCCTCCATAAAACACCATGTAGTGTATGAGCTTTACTTAAAACATAACTTCAAATTAGCAGGTGTTTAAGATTTTTATACACATTTAAAAATGGGCAAATCTCTAAAATAATACATTTCTAAGTTTATGTCACAAAAATAGCCCTCAAAAACTAAAATGACCAAAATGGAATTTATTTTTTGAAATTTAAAAATAAAAAAAAAGAATTTCAAAAATTGAAATCTTATGCCCAAAACCCCACTCTTAAACTCTAACCCCTAAAACCTAAATTCTAAACCCTAAACCCTAAACTCTAAACCCTAAACCCTAACTTCCACCTCTTAACTCTAAACTCTAATGTCTAAATTAATTTATCATTGGGATATAGGTGTATATTTATCTCTTTTGATAAAACATTAAGTGCTATTTTGGTTATTTTTATTCTTAAGTGCTATATTTGTGAGAAAAACTTTTTTAGTGCTATTCTAGTAATTTTCTCTTTAAAACTTGTTAAATTTTTATTCATTTTTTTAATTAACTAAAGCTAATCCAACCAATAAAAAACATACAATAGAATACAAATGATCACAAACACCAAAAAACATTAAAGTTTTATATAAAAATATGAAAACATTATCTATACAATACTAAAAAGGGAATACCTCCCCTGTCATGCTGCCACATCAGCCAATTTAATCGACCAATAGGGTCACAATATTCGGCCAGGTCAGCAAGTGTATGCGTGTAGTGGGCTTCGGTTTGTTTTGGTGTCCGCGAGTTGGGCTGTAAATCTTTAAGCCCAATTCTTTGAAAGTGTCGTCTCTTACCTCACCGTCGCGAAACCCCTTTCTCCTTTCGTACAATAAACTGTAATTTCACCTTGACGAATCATGAATCTTTTGCTCTCCCTTTGCTCTGTTTCCGTTTCAGTAATCTCATCAATACACTCTCCACTTCTCTTCTCCTAAGTCTGGTTTTATTTCTTTCTCAGATTCATTCTTGTTTTGGTTTGTGTTTGTGTTTTTACCCTCTCTTGATTGTTTGTTTGATTTGGGTGAGATATTAGGGGTTTTGTACGGTGGTAGTGGTGTAAGGTCGGCGAGGCTGTTTGCTCCTCCGGGTATTGAGGCGGTGGCGTCGGTGAATCAATGGAAGGCGGTGGATTAGGGTTTTTGAGTTGGCACTTTGTTTCGTGGAGTGGGAGAAAGGGACTTGGAGATAATTATTTGATTGGTGTTTTCGCGTCGATTCTTCTCGGACGAAGCTCCCAAGAAGAAGAGTATGTTTTTAAATAAAATCTTTAGTTTTTTGGTTTAGTTTTTGTGGTGTCTCAGTGAATCAGATTGGTTGTTGTGGGACAGAACCAGTTTCATCTCTTTGTTTCAAGACAGGTTCTGTCTTTCTTTGTTTTTTGGCACTCTCTCAATTTCATCTCTTTGTTTTGATTGTTGATTATATATATATATTTTTTTTTTTTTTTCTTTTTGGTGATTTAGGTAACGAGAACATTATATATGCTTCTCATGGAAATGAAATCAAGTCTTCCAATGTTTATATGGTAAAAGAAAAATCCGAACTTTGATAAAACTATGATCATTTATCTTCACTAAGTTTTAAAAAGGCTTCTCTCTGTTTCTGCGTTGTCATAGCTAAGTGATGGTTCTTGGAAGCCATTAGAGAGTTACAGTTACAACAAATATGAAGTAAACCAGGTAGAGAAATCTGGAAGTTCATCAAATTTCTATAAATCAATGTTAATATATTTTGTCTTGGTTATTTTTAGGTGGTATGCAATGGAAGATCATCTTTTCTTGCTTCTGCAGATGATTCTGGTGATGTCAAGGTACCTCAATGGTTGTTCTTATTACTTAAAAGCTTACAGAAACTCAAGTTTTCTTGCAATTTTCTCGGTTTGATCAGTTTGATTGAACACAGATTATCAACATTTGTCAGAAGTGTCTTTATAAAATCCTTAGAGCTGGTCATACAAGCGTATCCTTTATAGCCGTTGTTTCCTTTTCCTCGCTTCTGTGAAAAAAAAACCCAAGTCACACCTTAATGTATAATATTAAAGATATGCAGATCTGTGCAGTTCATTCCATGGAGACCTTGGGAAGATAACGAACTATTGCTTACTTTGTTATTATATATCTCTTCAAGGTCTCTAAAGTGTTTACTTTCTTCCAGTTATCACCGGTGGACTTGATGCAAAGCTTGTTTTGTGGGATTTCTCAAAAGGTCGCTCGCAAAAGATCATAGACTTCGATAAAAAGCCTAAGGTGCTGATGCTTGCTCCTTAGCCATTTTATAATCTGATCATTGATGTTAATCTTTCTGGCTCTGATTGATAGAGTTTAACTATAAAAACTTCTGTAAACTCGTATTATAAACTCAATCACCAGTATAATTCCTCAATCCAATTACAATCTATAACGAACTCGCCTATAGATCTGAATATGAGTAACTGCTGGCCCCACCCAGACGATACACTCCTCAAGTCGAGAGACTCTACTCAAATCTACAAGCTAACCTCCACACTAGCCAACACACTGGTTTTTATACAATTTCGAATACAAAGAATTAGAAAGACTCTAATTCAAAACAAGTATCTACTTCTTCACTTTGAATTACTTCTGCCACGTCAGACACCAACGGCTTCCTTCTCTAACTTCTTCCTCACGTAGACTGTCAAGCCTATCAATACCCCCTCCTTTAATACTCAGCTTGCCCTCAAGCTGGTAAGATAGAAACTGAACGCGAAACTCCTTAGCACCCCACTACAAGAAAACTCATCCATTACTAGGACGGGTTTTGCTCGTTAGTTCCTAGTAAATGGCATTTTACTAGGAAATAACGAGGAAACGCGTTTCCTCGAAACACGTTCATCGTAAAGCCTTTTTCCTCGTAAGGTCCTAGCGAATTTACGAGGAAACGTTTCCGCGTAAAGGCGTGGTTAGATTTTCTTCGTAAGGTCCTCGTAGCATTTCCTCGTAAGCTCATAGTAAGATTTTCCTCGTAAGCTCGTAGTAATACCTTACGAGGAAATTACTAGAACTATTTACGAGGACATTACTTCGAAACCATTACGAGGATTTTGCTTCGAAATGGTTTTTTCCCTATTAAAAAATTTAATTATAAATATAATTAATTTATTTAAAAAAAAATCAAATTATAAATAAAAAATAAAAAACAAAATATTTTATAAATAACTAAAAAATATACAAAAAGTTTTAAAATTCATAATATACAATTAAAAATAAAAAAAAAAACTACGGATGCTGATCGTGAAATTGGCGAACGAACTCGTCCTGGCTCGCCAAATCCTGCTCCTCTCCATAGTTGGTTGGCGGCTGTGACTGTGATGGTGGATGCTGTTGGGTTGGAATCCCTCCGCGTTCCCATCTCTAACGCAACATCTCCTCCAATTGCGGGTTTCCAACCACCATAATGTCGAGGACATCGGTGAGAGAAGTCACATGCTCGGTGAGCGAAGACAACTGCGAGCGTAGCTGAGCATTGACATCGTGCTGCTCCTGATGATAAGACAATGTCGCTGCAGGACATCGTTAACCGAGTCAATCCCGACGATACGCCCCTTTTTCCTAGGGGCGACCTGTAAATAAAAATATTAATAACATCAAGAAATTTTTTTTAAAAATATTAAAAATTAATAGTAAAACAAATTATTTACCTCCTCGTAAATCTTATCCACTTCAACAGTGGATAATATGACTGGAGTCCCAGTCTGCTGAGTCAGTTGGGTCTGGCGTTCGTCAACTCGGGCAACAACCTCGTTGTAGATCCACTCGGAAGCATGATCTACAAACTGCCCTGCCTTGTTCCGGTGGGTCCTCTCGTAAAGGTCTATTAGAGATGTAAGAACTCCTGTCTCTTTAGCCTAAAATTAATTTATAAAATTAAATATTAATTTGGAATATTCAAATAAAATAAAAATTAAATAGTTATGAAAAATCATCTAACCATGTCTAGACGAACTCCCCCGTGAGGTTTTCGACCCGTGGTGTGAAGCACCTTCGTGTTATGCTCGTCTCTGGTCAAGCGGTTCCCGGAGTTTGTGTTGGAGGTTCTGACAGAGTCCGGCAACCCCCAATAGCTAATGAGGCCATCCCACACCATGGTTGTGAGGCAATCGGGTTTCCCGTCCTCGTAACCATCCATCTGATTTAAAAATATTAGAATTAAAGTCAATATAAAATATTTTTAAAACTATATATATATTATAATTTATAAATCTATACCTGATAGTCGCCCTTTCAGTTGTAGACCATGTCGAGCAATCGTTCTCTTGCCTTGGCCTCAAACTCCTTCTTCACCCGCTGGTGAATCCCAATAGACCAAGATATTTTTTCTGTAACCAGAAAAAATAAAAGACGGATTAGTCCAATAATATTAATAATTTTAAATAATTAAAAATAAATTAACAAATTAATCTTACAGCGAACGATTTGAACCACGTCTATTTGTGTGGCTCGCCGTCATCTTCCAGTTTGGAGCTGGATCGGGAAAGTATTCCTTAATACAGTCCGTGACGCTAGATCCGACACAATTGTCAAGACCAAACCTGGAAAGACACAAAATAAATCATTAATTAGATTAATTTCTAAATATTTTGTTAATTAAGAAATAAATTAAAAAAACTTTTTAAAAATTAAAACATACCATAATACGTTTTGGCCGTCCCGTCGGATAGGATCTAACTCTGCCAGCCCTTCTCTGCCTGGAAGGGCCAAAATATCCTCCACCGTGTACACCGAAAAGAGTGCGTTCGGCGGCACCTGCAAATCGGGATGAACCCCGACCGGTGGAGGAGGAGGAGGAGGAGGAGGTTGCCGGGACGCCGTAGAAGCTCCCTGAGTCTCAGGAATCGAAGATGAACCGGGAGCTGGCGAAGATGAACCCGGAGCATCCTGACGCCCAAACATATCTCCGTAGTGACTCCCCTCGAGAGACGACGTCCTCTTACCAGCAGCCTTAGCAAGCTTGCTCTGTCTAGGCATCTATATGTTTAAAAAAAATCAAAACATGAATTCCCGTATAATTAAAAAAAACACTAAATAAAAGTAAACCAACCTAATCTATATTACCTAAACTAACCACCTAATCTAAATTCCCTAAACTAACCACCTAATCTAAATTCTCTAATCTAATCACCTAACTACGAATTAGAGAGAACCTTTAGAGGATTTAGAGAGAAGGTTACTACCAAATGAGAAACCGGATTGCTCGAGTATATATAAGGAATTTTATTTCCTCGTAAAGCCCTAGTAATGTTACTAGGACCTTACGAGGAAATATCTATGCCCGTGTTTTTATTTCCTCGTAAGGTCCTCGTAAAGGTTGTACTAGGGCTTTACGAGGAAAACCCTTTACGAGAAATTAGCTATGCCCTCGTTTTTTTCCTCGTAAAGCCCTAGTAACACCTTACTAGAACATTACGAGGAAATGGCTATGCCCGTGTTTTCTATTAATAGGGCTTTACGAGGAAATGGTTTATAAATCCCTAAACTCGAAACCCCAAACCACAACTTCCTTAACTTATAACCTCTTCTACAACCAAACTCCTAACTTCTTCTACACATAAACCCCAAACCCCAAATGCAAATTGATTTTGTGATTTAACAAACTTAAAACATGTATAATGCAAATTCATTTTTGTGATTAAACAAACTTATAAACATACATAATTCATTCGGATATATTGTCGTAATCGGTTGAGACATCATCATTTTCTAAAAACTCGTCGTCTACACCTTCGTCCGTGGAGTGATCAGGAACAGCTTCGTATTCACGATTATGCGGATCAATGAGTAGGAACTCATCAATTTCTGCCTCAGCTTCCTTGATCTCATTGGTGTTTTCTTCTTGTAATGGTGGTTCTTCTCCAGCGATTATTCGTCCTCGAGGTGTAACTTTGATAACAGCTAACCAGTTTATTCCCAGGGTAGTAATCCAAGGGTATGGAATGAAGCAAACTTGATCTGCTTGGGAAGCTAATATGAAAGGCTCGAACTTCTTGTACTTACGAAAATAAAGATCAATATGTAAAAATTAATTAATACTGGAAACCTGGATATTAAAAAAAAAAGGAATTTGGTGTACCTTCGTCCACCATTGACATCAACTACACCGTTCTTGTTAATCCGAACACCTCTGTTTACGACGGGGTCGTACCACTCACACTTGAAGATAACGCATTTCAAACCCATACCCGGGAATTGAACTTCATAAATCTCCTGCAAGATCCCGTAGAAATATGTTTCGCCTTTCAGACATATTCCATAATTAGTTGTCGCCTGGTGTCTACCATAGTAATAGGTATGAAATGTATAGCCTCGGGTGAAATACATCGACGATGTAGTGACCTTTGCAACTGGACCTTGAAGTAATTCGCGAAACCATGCGGGATACTCAGGATCGTCATAATCAACCTGCAACAAAAAGTAAAATAATTAGACATTAAATTTACTTTGTGGTAATGTATGCATACAATTTAAGTAATAAATAAATACCTGTTTCCTCAACCACTTGATAAAGTATTGATCTTTCCTTTTGTCTAACTCAGTTGTCGATATACCAGGTATTGCTTCCTCGACTTGAGTCTCAAATTGACTGTAAAATCATATATGTTATGTTATATATTTAATATTAAAAATATATATATATATATATATATATATATATATATATATATATATAAGTGTGTATGTTTATATATTTACCTTTCAAAATAAGCAATCAATGGATGCTCGCAATTAAGAAGAATATAAAGGTGTGCACTATGGACGTCTTCATCACTCGACCACCAAACCTCTTTCAATTTCCCACCCAATCGCCCAATTTGACAAAAGATGTCTGGAACA